TGAAGTTCCATCATCTGGATCCGAACTACGGTCTGTATTTCAACACTTCATGGGTGTACCCACTGAGCTAGACCCTTGGGTCACACACTGTTTATAGTTTTTTTTTTAGTATTTAGTATTTACTATTTATAATTCTCTTCTGGACCTTTCTGGTGCGTGCGCCCCAAAGTGTGCTGTGGTCCAACACATCTATTATTAACCCTGCGTAGTTAATCCCCGGTATGATGCGGGCGCTCCGGCCCGGTTCATACCGCGGTTGATATTGTATTATGAAAGCCGGGAACCGGATCCGGCGCCCCTCACATGACAGGGCAATCAATGCTGGCAGGCCTTCTGATGTATAGTGGGATGCTGGACCCGCTTTCCAGAAGGTGCTGCTCCCCACCAATAGACCGGAGGACCCAGGACTCTTTCTTAAAAAAAAAATAAAATAAATAATAATAATAATAATAAGAGTAATAAATTAATAAGAGTAATAGTAATAATAGTAATAATAAAATTGTCTTCTGTATTTTTTTGGTTTAAGGTTTTGTGAAATGTGACATCTCTTCTGCTATTTACTGATGACGTGGGCACCGATGTGTTTCTGATTTGTGTTTTGCAGAAAGGAAAGAGAAGGAAGAGTGTAGTGTTTGCAGATGAAGCTGGATGTGGGGAATTATTTCACGTGAGGATTTTTGACCAATATTCATGATATACTGATATTCAGTTTTTTTTTATCCTCTGGATTTCACACATTCTTTGTACAGTGGTAGTGAGAGCAACTTTTCATTCTTTTTCCCCTTCTGAGGGCAGCTTGATCAACACAGGCGACAATAGGTTTTTTCCTCAAGACGGACTGAACGTCCACTCAGTTGCGGAATCATCGCAGCCAGCGGTAGTTTTAACAAGTTCATAGGCCAACCAACGATGTTGCTTAACAGCTGCATCCCCTTTCATATGCCTCCAGGGAGCAATCGTGTTTCCTTTGGAAGTACAGAGTTGAGCTCAGGTAATTTAACCCTTTTTTTTCCCCAATAGGACATCCCCTTTCATATGCCTCCAGGGAGCAATCGTGTTTCCTTTAAGGTTACAAAGTAGTTTTACTTCACGCCTTCTGATGTTTACAGCTATTTTTTCTCCCTCCTGCTCCTTTGGGGTGCCTTGAGGTTCTCTTCCTGATCCTAAAACTGTGAAGGATAATCTCGGAGAAAGGGAAAAAAAGTGAATTGAGAGAAGATGGAGGAACAGGTACATCAGTCTTCTGAAACAGATCCCTCCTCCCCCTCCTCTTCTCCTCCCCTCCTGCCCTCCTGCCCTCCCGCCCGCCTGCCCTCATCTCCTCCTTCCTCCCCCTCGTCCCTGTTGGTGCAAAGTCTTCCCCTCTGTGCCCCCCTCCAAGCCTCAACCATATCAACTACCCCCCCCTCTCCTCCTGCCCCCCTCTCCTCCCCTCCACCCGCTCCTTTCCCCGCCCCTTCCTACGCTCCGTACTTGTAGATGGCCGGATATACTAACATCATTTTCGCTCGATATAGTGGATGTCCTGCCAATCAGGAGACCATCGCGGTGAGTTCGAAGGGATTTTTTTTGTTGCTTTTAGCCTCTTTTAGCCCAATTTTCTATGGGTTCAGGCTCGTTAAGAAAGAGCTTGCATTAACACGCTTTTGCTCAGTGCTGTCTGTCCACTTTATGCTGTGAAGCGCGCGGCATGCGTGGAGGGGGGCGTTGCCTATTGAGCAAAGGCAAGCCCATTTCTTCGCCTCTCCATTTTTTTTGCCTTTTTTTGATTGAGTGACCTCTTTTATGATCGAAGGATCCGTTCCGAAATTTGTTCAGTTTTTTTTTTTTTTTTTTTTTTTTTTTGTGTTATAAGGTTTTTAACTTCAGTGCTCATATCTGGGGAATAAGTTTCAATAAACTACTTGCTCCAAATTACCAGCTGGCATAAGGCCTTCTTGATACACTACTGAAACATTCTACATGCATTTGGACTCGTTTCTGTACCAGGTTCATTTGAACAGAGTCCTGCATTTTGAATGTATTGGGACTATTTTGAGGTTCAGATACATGTAGAGTGTTTTGCAGTGGAGCGATGCCTGTAGTTTGTGTTTCTAAAGATTGTGTATACGTTTCAGGTCTGGCGTGACCGAAGTATCGTTTTATATCAAATGACGACATTTATGTTGATGGATGAAATGCGGCCGAAATTGAAAATGAGGAATGTACCATTCTCCTGCTGCAGTGCGGTGGATTTCCTTCTTTGGAATCTTGCTCCATGGGCCACTGGCTATTCAGTTTCCTTTTTACTTTCCATGGCTATTCAATTTTTTTATTTCAGAAAAATGTACATATCCTCTCGCTGAATGCTTATTTCTTTTCCCAGCGCCTTTTTCGTAATCCCCTCCCCTCTTGTGTTTGGAGGGCTTCTGCTTGGTAAGGTTCTTTTGCTTTGCCATAAAAAAAAAAAGATGGGTAGACAGATCTTATTGCAGTGCACTATTCTTCTTCTTCTTCTTCTTCTTCTTCTTCTTTTTCTTTTTCTGCTGGTTTGAATGCTGTTTGCTTCAACAACAAACTTGCGATCGTAAATACCTTAATCTTGCTATGCGTTCCTTTTTCTTCTTCGAGCGTGACTATGTATGGAAGCATGCAGGCATGTGTATGTTGATTGGCAGGCAGATTGTATTGCATGTGCACTATTCTTCTTCTTCTTCTTCTTCTTCTTTCTTTCTTTTTCTGCTGGTTTGAATGCTGTTTGCTTCATCAATAAACTTGCGATCATAAAATACCTTAAGGCTTAATCTTGTTATCACAACTTATCAGTGTGTTCCTTTTCTTGTTCGAGCACGACCATGTATGGAAGCATGCAGGCATGTGTACAGTTTACGGTTGCACTGTTCGGCAGTATGTAGGTATGTTGCAATGTAAGCTTCTGACGCGTCTATCATGTATAGGCTGGCTGGCTGTATGTCTGTTCTTCCACCAGTACATGTCTGAGCCATTTTTTTCGAGTTGAGTCGTTGTATGCCTGCTGTGAGCTCTGTTGTTCGGTCCTGGCTTTGGCAGAGGCCATTGCTGAACCTTGTCGACAGTCTGTGAGGTGCCATCAGAACCCCAAAAGTTGCAGTGCATTTAGGGTGGCCGTGTCAGAACCATTTGCCTTGTCTGTGAAGCGTACTACCGTCTTCACCCGAATAGAACGCCCGGTAATTATCATCGTATCCGGCCTGAAAGTTGATATAATGACCGGGCGTTCTATTCCGGTGAAGACGGTAGTAGTGGTTTGAAGGGTGTGCCCCCTAGTGTAACTGTGCTCATCTGGTTCCACCTGAAATCGAAGTCGTGACCTGTTTATGAGCGGTTGCATGTGTGTGGCGGGCCGTGCCCCACAACTGCGAACAATTTTGTTTATTGTTGCTGTCATGATGCAGCCTAGAAATGATGTCATTGCTTTTTACTCTACTTCGCTTGAATGGAGCCATAATTGCAGGCCAAAAAAAAAAAAAACGGTTATTTTTAATATTTTGGGAGGTGGTTTACATTCCCGTTGGATGAAGACTTGGAGCTCTGTTAACAGAAACAGCTGGAGGCTTGCGATAGTATATTTCTTGGTGTTTTATTTTTGCCATGCACTCGCATGTTAAAAGCGACCAGGTGGGTGCTCTTTGTAATGCGAAGCCGCTATTTTATATGACAAAGAGGTCGTGTCTCTCTTAAAAGTTAAAACTCTTAAAACAAAAATAAAAAAATAGATGTGGAGGCCGAGGAGCTAACTGCTCGCACACATGAATGATTTCGATTTTCAAATTGAGTAGCTTCTAATAGGCCTAAAGGCCGTAAACATTATTCAATCATTTCAATGATTATTTATTAAATTATTATTGTGTAATCCGTTCAGCAGTTGGGTATGTACCAGTCCACTGCATGGACTGGGTAAATAATAAATATGTTTTTTTTTTTTTGTTTTGTTTTTTTTGTGGTGGGGTGGGGGTGGGTTTGATTTGTATTTTGCCACCATTGGGAGCCGAGTGCCAGTGGAAGTTTGTAGACATAAAAAAGGGAGAAAAAAATAAACCTCGCAGGCATGCATTATTTTTATTTTTTCGGGATGATTTCTGTTTTGGCACCATTGGATTATGTTGAAGTTGGCAGTCGAGTGCAAGTGGAAGTTTGTACGCTCTCTTCTTCTGCTTGGAACGCACCTGGTTCACAAAGGTGTCCAAATGCATGTAGAATGTTGACTTTTGGAGCAAGGCTTTGTTTCGCAGGACGTTGCATATACATTTTTTGTTCATTACACACGTCGAGCGAGAACGAACAGGCGGGGGAAAACATGTTTTGGACAAACGAATTCGAGCCGCTAAACGAATTCTAAGTCGAGCGAGAATGGACTTGCCCGGCCGGGCCAAAAAAATAAAAAAATAAATAATATTTTTAAATTTTATTTTTTATTTTAAATTTGGTGAAGAACTTCGATGTGACCCTTAGGCAAAAGTTGTTCAGTTTATTTTTCTGCATAAAATAGTTTTTTTTTCGGATTTTTTGGATTTTTTTTTTTTTTTTTTTTTTTTTTTTTGCTGGGACCTTCCCTGGTCCTTGCACGGGTTGGCCACCCGGGACCCGGGCGGCCCGGCTGGTAGCCTAGAGAAATCCGGAATTGTAGTATTACACTCGTCTGCTCCCAGTGGAGTTTGAACACGGGTCTGTAAACTTGAAAGCTAGGCCGAAGGATAATCTGATAACACAAATATTTTTATGACTTATAAGCTGTCTTGCTGTAAAAATAGTAGAGCAAAAATCCATACGTACAAGAAGAGTGTCCAATCTTTTCTCCATGAATAATAATAACAAACTCTTTCTTTGTCGAAATAAGTTTACGTTTTTTAAACTTTTTTATTTGTTTTGCTACTTTTTGAACAGGCAGATTACCATAAAATATTAAAAAATAGATATACGGGTCTGTATTTCAACAGGTCAACGGGTGTACCAACTGAGCTAGGCCCAGTCTGTGGAATGGTACATTTTTGATTCTCAACGTTGCCTGGGAAAGGTAGCGGTGGCTTAAGTTATGCTCACAAACTTGTTTGACTGAATCCAGGATGCAATTGCGGTCAGATTCATTCAGTAAGGGCTTTAGTTGCAGTCAGATACGTAGAGGAACGCCGTAGTTGTTGGCACACATTTCCAATAGGGGGGTTGTTGACGCTTAACTGCAGACACATGCGTCCAGGAAAGCCCTACCTTCTTTCCCCGAATATAACGCTCCATCTTCATGATGTATACACACCATGTTCCGGTTCCAATACAGTCATGATGATGGGGCATTATACTTTGATGAAGAAGCTGTGGATATGCTCTTAAGATTTAAGTAGCTGCTTGCCACTTCGAAGTCTAATGACTAACTTTGTTTGCTTCAGCTGAAGCAATCATGCACTCTGTTGCTCCATTAGAAATCCGTTCTCTTTTTTAGATCCTTGGGAAACAATCACGGCATACTCATACTAGGACTTTTCTACATGTATCAGTCCCAAATGCCAACAAAGTTGAATAATGACTTCATCCCAGCAGACTCCCCTTGTAACCACATGGAGGTCTCCTCCTCCTCCTCCTCCTCCTCCTCCTCCTCCCCCCCCCCCCCTCTCTCTCTCTCTCTCTCTCTCTCTCTCTCTCTCACACACACACACACACACACAAACACACACACACACACACACACACACGCACACACACACACATTCACATATTTAGCATCTCTCTCTCTCTCTCTCTCTCTCTCTCTCTCTCTCTCTCTCTCTCTTTGTGACACACACACACACACACATGCAATGGAGGTAAAGTTGCTTTGATTTTGGATCTACTAATCCGGGTGGGACAGGGGCTGTTGTGGTGCACATTTACAACACACACACACACACACACAAGTCTCTCTCTCTCTCTCTCTCTCTCTCTCTCTCTCTCTCTCCTTTTGTGAGAGAATCAGGACACCTTTTGAATGCCATCTGACAGATGGCAACAGGTACGCTTCTTGTTAGGTCTCCGAGAGCGGGCAGTTCTAGAAGATAACCTTCAAGTCAGACGGGGCAGTTCTAGAAGATAACCCTAAGTCAGTGCGGTTGCGCTCACTCTTTCATGACATCTGCATTGCTTCGGCATTACTACGTACTACGTAGTCAGTCCTCCATTATTTGTTATCTCGTAGTTACTTCTGAGTTGCCTCAGAGTAACTTGGTGTCACTAACTTGCGTGAATGGTCTAACTACTTCTGGGTAGTCTTCTCCTTCTGCCTTCCTTTTGAGGAAAAGGTCCCTCTCCAAGTGGCATGCCGGAGCGCAGTTGCAAGCGCAATTTCACAGTTGCCTCTGATGTTTTACCTCTCGGTTACATCTGCGTTCCGCTCCTTGAGTCATCCTTGAGTCTTCTGAGTTTTGCTTCTCAATTACATCGGCTGTTGCTCTTTGAGTCATTTGAGTTGCCTGAGTCTCAGCGAGTCAGTCTGTGAACCGATTACTACCAGATTACATTTTTCCTCTGTTCCCCTTGAATCATCTCTGAGTCGTCTGAGCGTCCCCCGCGTTAAAAACTTCCGCATTACATCTGTCTGAGTTGGTTGAATCCTGTGAATTGTTTGAGCCGCCGCTGAGTTACTTCCGTATTACATCTGTCCGAGTCGCTGGAGTCGTCTGAGGTGCTGGAGTCGTTGGACTCCTCTGAGGTGCCGTTGAAGTTGTCGGAGTCGGTTGCGCCTTCTGTGTTGCTTGCGTCTCCTGCGTCGATTCTCCACCGCTTGGGAGTTCCTTCATTGTTCCTTCTCTCTGAAACAGATAGATGCCATCTCCTCCCACCCTGTCGATCCGAAGGTCTTCATCGAGGTAAAGCGTTCTCCACTCCACTTGACGCTGAAGCATGGCTGGCAGCTCAATTTTGACCTGCAATAATTCCTGTCATCAACGCACAACATATCCGGCGGCCAAGGGGGGGGGGATGGGGGTTGGGGGGGGGGGGGGGGGGGGGGGGGGAAAGAAGAGGAGAGAAAACGTTCAAAAACAATGTTGATATCACGTGAGATCAGATTATGTATATTGTCGAATATCTCTAAAACTGGAAAAAAAAAGCGTGCACTTTGTGATACAGAGAAGATTAGCATGACAAACATGAAGAGCACAAGGTAATTATTCACTTTCCCCATTCTTCTTTTAACTCCCCCTTCCTGGTGGGTCTCATGTCCAAGGGTCGCCTTATTCATGGAGTTGAGTGTGAGCTGCCAGCATCCCCATGTGCCAGAATGGCCCCATGAGAAAGAGGCAGAGTGAAGAGGGGAGGGGGGGATGGGATAAACACAGAGAAGAGAGATGGAGAGAAGACGAAACAAAGAATGACAAAGGAGGGTACATAAGGGAAAGTTGGGAGTGTGGAGTGAGGATGGGGGCAAAGGAGAGGATAAGAAAAAGACTCAAGAATGAGTCTGTCCTTGACGACAGAGAGGACATACATTGTACGGATGAGGTGGAAGAACACATGGAAGACCTAGCTGAGCATTCTCAGTACAATAATTACCACGACGGCTGGCGTTGAGCATGCCCGTCATACACCCGCGACAAATGGCGTGTCGATTGCAGGCCAAAATAAAGGAAGAAAGTTCACCCCAAACGACCACGCATTCAGTATAGCGCCCATGGATGCAGAAACCGACATAGTGTCCGGATGCCGAGGGTCAGGAACGTAAGGACAGTCTTCTACACAAATGGATGCAGAAACCATGTCATTGTAGTGATTGTGACAGAGACGATACCGGCTACAGCCGAGTGTAACATTGTTTGTAGTTGTGCAATGGAGAAGGTTGCAGAGTGTCGGTACATTGTCCTGCTGCTGCACGGGGCAAGAGGAATGATCTTCGACATAAAGGAGACTGCAGACGGTTTGGCGTGGCAACAAAAAAGCAGCATCATTATGTAAGAACAATGCGTAGCGATCAGTCATGGCATGGACCATGATGGATGCCGTTGTCCCACAGCTCCCAGTGGTCAGATGCATGTACAATGACCATGTAATGGCCAGCTCCGTGCACAATGCAGGCAGAGATGTGGCATGAAGGATTTAACAACTCACTTGCTCGAGCATTGTGCAGTTCAAGTTGGCACTCCCTCATTGCTACTTGTGGGGCAGTCCCACAATAGTAAAGCCTCTTTCTCTGGTATAAAATTACTATAAATAGATAACTTTTTAATCGCTTGTAATTTTTGTGAAAATTCACCGGCCTTGTTTGTTTTTTTTCGAACCTTCGAAATATCAAACAACTATTGACAGTACCTCGTTTGAAAAGCTTTTGAAGCTTCGAGACGCGATAGTCGAAGAAGAATTTGAACGGATGTAGGCGGGGAACATCAGCAACGATTCAGAATCAAGCGGAAGTGAAATTGCAAGGACATCTAGCGGTGTATAACAAGGACGGTGGAGAATGTGAAGACAAATATTAGTTGCAGTCAGACGACAAAGATTGGCGGGGAGCTCAGCCTGAGGCTGGTGTGCTGGTTGCTAGCCAAAGATTTGCAAATCACCCAGGTGGGTGTTGAAAGCCCAAAATGTCTTGGGCTGTTTACGGGTCAGTCATTTGCAGATCACCCATCTAGTCTGCGTGTGGTGGGGCATAAATTTGCGGTTCATCCAAACGGTGTTGGTCAGCTATTTGCAGATCCCTCATGTGGTCTACACTTCGTGGGGTTCACTCCAATACGAGCAAATCATGTTCCAATCCCTCGACGTTTGGGGCTGCATCCTAAGTAGGGATTGTCCGCGGAATTGGGAGTGTACCCTGGGCAGGGACCACATCCTTTCGTACAGGTGACTTGTGAATATCTAACGCTGAAGGGCATAAAACATGGCGCCATGGCTGCCAGCACGCAGCTGGACTGTCTGCTTGAGGCATAGGAGCGGATATTGTCAATTGGAACAAAGGAAATGCAACAACCTGTGGAGCTGGCACAAAGAGAATTGGGGCAGATAAAAAAAACAGGCTGCCGATCCCCAGATAGGTGACGATGCGGCGCACGCCGTTGACGATACAAACGATAAGAGTAGTGGTGTTGCAAACTGAAGCTGAACATGTCTCTGACATCGAAGATGGAACAATGGGAACAATGGGAACAATGGGAACAATGGGAACCGGACAGTCTGTTTGCAAGCGAGACCATGGAGGGAGGATATGGCGGTGGTGTACACCGACAAGACCCCTGAGGATGACTGGTTAGCGGACCGGCCGAAACTACTGTCTTCACCCGAATACAACGTACGGTCATTATAGCTGTATTTGATGCAACTTTGAGTCTAGATGTGGCAATAATGACGGTACGTTGTATTCGGGTGAAGACAGTAGTCGGGTCAATACCGCCATGCACTCAATGTTCACATTTTTAACGTCGCGTTCGGGAGTTTTTGACGACATCTTCCGTATTATCTTCTTTTCCCACTCTCTCCTCTCTTTCTCTCCCTCTGCTCGACTTTCCTCCACCCTGTTGTCATCTACGACTTGTCCTTCCCCGAACGCGACGTTTCCCATCTATTTAGGTCAAAATGACTGAGTCATCTCGTAAGGTTGTTCCTCTACTCCCTCCCTCTGCTACTGTATCCCAATCATCTGGATATCTGTCGCATGGTTCTACGCTGTTCGATGATTGCAATTTGACTGAAGTAGTGGCACTACTACAAGCACAGAAAGAGATGGGATGGGGGTGGATTGGGCAAGATTTCGAAACAAATGATGTGAGTGTGATGTTCTTCGCATGCATACTTTAAAACACCACTACCTCCAAGCCTCTTTTCGCGGCGTGGTTTTCCTCTACATGCCAAAAACGAAATGAACTGTAGAAAATAGGGTTTAGGGATTAGGGGACACAGAGGGGAATAGGGTCTAGGGTTTAGGGGACACAAAGTGTAAGCGGTAGAAAATAGGGAAGGTTTAGGGATGCAAGAAGGGCAGTTAGTCAGGAAATAAACAGATACGACGAAACGTTGCAGAAAACCAGGATTTCGGGTAGAAAGAGGGAGGAAGATTTGCTAAGCTGCTTTCTTGCAAGTCAACAAACACATGGCAGGCACCATGGGAACCTGAGAGGAAAAGACTTAGCAAACAGGAATACCGGAAGTAGACAGGCTAACTTATGCAGGGGGGAGGGGTGGTACATCCTTCCGCAGGGAAGTAATCAATGCTGCCCACTCGGGCTTCCCACCCATAATGGGGAGGACCGGGAGTGAGTATTTCTTGTATTCAATTCTGATTTGCCGGGGGAATAGGAACCGGACTGTTGCTCCCCAGAATGGCAGGAGCCAGCACCAAGGAGTT